TTATTTTAATCATCAGCTTTTTAGGTTTTTCTTTTCTTTAATTCTATAAAATTTAAAATTTTATTTACACAGCCTGTCATGAATTAAGGGATAAGAAGAAAAAGTAAATAAAAAATATTTCAAAATAACTTAATCAATATCTTTATTTATATATTTATTTATTTATTTTGTTTTTCGAGATAGGGTTTCTCTGTGTAGCCCTGGCTGTCCTGGACTCACTTTGTGGACTGGCTGGCCTCAAACTCATAGACATCAGCTGCCTCTGCCTCCCAGAGTTCTGGAATTACAGATGTGTGCCACCATACCAGGCTTTAATCAATATCTTAAAAGATCTGTTTTGTTTTGTTTTTCTCTGTGTATTCCTAGCTGTCCTGGAATTGCTCTGTAGACCAGGGTGGACTCAAATTCAAAAGATCTACATGCCTCTGCCTCAGCAGTACTGGGATTAAAGGCAAGCAAAACCATGCCTAGCAACATGGTAAAGATTTAAAAACCATCCTTAAGAAACACAAAAGCATCCTAAGAATAAACTCCTATGTTATAGTACACTCAAAGTACTTAAGATGTGAAACTTGTCAAGTTCATTTTCCTTTTTTTGTTTCTGTTATCTGTTTTTGTTGCTGTTTGTATTTTTTATTTTTAAAATATTTTTTGGGCCTTTGCACTTGCCTTCTCTCTACTGGAATGCTCTTCCATAGTTTTCTTTTTAAGTTTACACTTAAAACTGTTTAGAAAACTTTGCTTTGAAACCCAAGCTTAGCATCTTCAACAGTACTTTGAAATTTTAACTGTTACCAGCATTTAGTACCTGGAGAACAAATTTTCCCTGCACATATAATAATGACACAGTAAAGTACTTTTTTGCAACATGGGTTTTCTATACATTGCTAACATTTCGAAATTGTTTTATATACATTAGTTAACAATTCTTTTGAGTACCTACTATAAGTTTCACATAATTCTAGATAGCATGGAAGAAAATAACTGACAAATTAGTGAAATAAAATTTGAATTATTCACAAAATGATTTTTAAAATTTATTTATTATATATACAATGTTCTGCCTGCATGTCAGAACAGGGCACCAGATTTCATTATAGATGGTTGAGAGGTACCATGTGGTTGCTGGGATTGAACTCATGACCTCTGGAAGAGCAGCCAGTGCTCTCGGCCTGAGCCATCTCTCCAGCCCCCACAAAATTATTTTTACAAGTCACTAAATAACCTTTGTTAAATGAGTCATCTTTAGAGTTGATAAAATATTTGTAATTACCTCATTTATCACAAATAATTTATCTTTACGATCCATTTTAGTATCTGTAAAAAAAAAGAGAGAAAGCAAGTATTTAGATTTCAAGACTACTTGACTTTGAGTACATTTGCTATCTAGACGATTATTTTTACAGTAAATATTTTTAAGACTGATTAGAACTAAAAACATTCCATCTCTTCATTCCTTTTAAACATAAACTAAACAAATCACAGGCAGATAGCACAGTGCATTCTTGCCACTGTATTGGAGACTGGAACCCAGGGAAAACACAGCCAGGCAAGCACTCTGCCTAGCCCTCCTTACTTCCATGTCGCCTGGCTCAAAACTTAAACTTTTTTTTTTTTTTTTTTTTTTAAATTTTTTAAGATTGGGTTTCATATAGTTCAAGCTAACTTCAAAGTACCTATGTAAATTTAGGATGACTTTCAATTCTTCAATCTCCGCATCACTGAGATTCCTCTGCACCACTATGCGCAGCTTTTAAAACTAAAACAAGACTATACAGACCAAGATGGCCTTGAACTCAAGAGAACAGCCTCCCAAATGCTGGGGCTAAAGGTGTGTGCCACCACAACTGACCAAAACTTAAACACCTCAGGAAACAGCTACACACAGCCATGACAAATGTCAATCTTAAAAGCAGCCACTTTTCGCTAGCCTGTAAGGCAGAATACTGTTAAGCCACGGGTGGCGGCACATACTTAGGTAGTCCTAATACTAGGCTGAAGCAAGCAGATCTTTATGAGTTCAAGGTCAGGCTAACCAAGGCTACATAGCAAAACCTTGTCTCAAAAAGAAAGATAGAAAAAGTAAGTTTTTAAATGTTCAGAAAGCAATACTTGCCAGTCCTTACTCAAGATCTTACCCTTCTTCTGATCATAGGAAGCCACTGTAATTAAAGCATCCTTAGACTTTTAGAAAACACTTCTATATTTACATGTTTTAAAAAGTAAAGGAAATGTGAACTTTTGTCAATAATTTATTACAAAACGTTAAATTTCCTTAAAAATGTGGTACTTGAAAGAATGAACGTTTGAAATGCTATGTGTGTGTGTTCATCATTCCAGGGGTCAACCTCGGGTGTTTTTCCTCAGGTGCAGCTCACCTTGTTTTTGAGACAGAGTCCCTAAACTGTCCTAGAGCTTGCCCAACTAGGACAGCATGCCCACAGCACACCACCACACCCAGCTCCTTTACCACAGTTCTGGGAACTAAACTCAGGTCCTCTACTTCACTGATTGATTGGGCCTCACTTTCAATCCTTGTACTTTCTTTACCTGACAAGGCTTCACAAACAAGAAATATGTAAATTAGGCAAGTCTCTACATACAGATATTAAAGTACCTGCTTTAGAATGAGGCATCAACATTCTTAAGTCTTGCATTAAGTGTCTTGTTCTGAAATTTATTCCTCTGGAAGAAAAGATGAGGATCCGCTCCTTATTCTTCCATTTGCCCTAAAGGGGGAAAAAGTTAGGAGATTTTAACATCCTCTGCTGGTGTTTTTGAGACTTTTTTAAAGTTTCCAGAACTAGGTATGGTAGTGTACTTTGTACCCCAGCTGGTGAGGCTGAAGCAGGAGGATAACTTGAACCCTGGAATTTAAGGCTATCCTGGGAACATAGTGAACCATCTAAAACAAAGAAACATTGAAGCAAACCACCTTCCAACACCCCTCACTACCATAAGAATTCTTAGCACCCTTTCATTTTTTAAATTTTTATTCTCTCCATTAAAGTCCACTATGCTTATTTCCAGTTTTGACTATGTGCAAAAAAGTAAATCTCTCTAGCCCTACTAACACATGTATTAGAATAATGCTTCAAATTCAACTACATAATATTAAGCTTTACCATACTTAAATCTGGCAAATCTCCTTATCAATATTCTTTCTTCTCTCTTCCTTCCATCTTTCTGCCATTATTTCAGCTCCTAGGACTCTTAATATCCCATTTGCCCTTAGTCTCTTATATAGACATCATAGGCACTACTAACTACTATTGGAACCTCTTTACAGCAATTTGTAAATCTTACACACTCTCCTTACTTAAACCTCTAACCTGATTATCAGCTGCAAAGATCTTGAACGCCTGGCTTTCCCAGACAGAATCACTTCCGACAGTTATCCAACTAGCACCAATTTAATCTTTTAAAAGCACTGTCCAAGTTAGGATTTTACCCTCAGGGGTTTCCAAAGTTCAAAATGACATATACACTCTTTGGTTGGATTCTAAAATACATTTCCACTGTTTACAACACCAGTGTCCAATATTGGCCCTGAACAAACTCAGCCAACTAGACCCTACCTTTTAGATTGTGTCCATCTCCCCACTTAATGCCTTTTTTTCATTCTCTCTTTGAATATCAAAACTGAACCCTTTCTTTGAAATCCAGCTCAAAAGCTAAGTAAGTCTTCAAGTTTCCTTACCATCCTAAAAGTAATCTTTATCTCCTGAATTCCAACTAACTTTCAGAGTGTGATTCAGACTGCAGATCCCAACATGTCTCTGCTCAGCTACTAGAGGTGGGGAGGAGGGCACTAACATTTATTGAAAACCTATATGGCCATCTTCTTTTTTGTCCCCCAAGAGTTACTTCTATCCTTTCAGAAACGAGTATAAGATTTAAATGTTAATTAAAACTGGGCTACAATTTACACTCACCTTTCACATTTCCTTTCTACTTACTAAGTACCAGAGTACTACAGTAAGCATAGGGGACAATTATTAACAAGTCTAAGGCAAAATTCCTTCCATTAATACACCTTAAGGAGTTTTCAGATGACTGAAAGTAACTCTTAACAAGAACCTAGCTGTCTTTTGAATAAACACGAAATTTTCTATAAAGCTCTTTCTAAATTCCAGTATTGCTGGAAGAAGTCCTGATCATCATCTCCAAAATGCCAAGGCCAGGGAAGCTCACCTTGGTATAGTGCGTTGAATTGTTGAACATGGATAAAGCTAATGGTCTAGTCTAGTTATATTATTATATAAGTATTATCCTTTGAATTAAAGGTCCAGCCAAACAAGTTAGGAGTCACAGGACAGTAACGTTAAAGGCTTGGCAAACGAACTTCGGTATTCCTTTGGATACCGGCCGACATAGCAGATATGGAAGGAATATTATAAATACCTCCAAAACAAAAGGAAAAGCAAAAGCACGACCCTGGGAAGGCTGGAGAAGAGTAACTGAAAGACAGCATACTATAACCAAATACTCCGTTAAATCACCTCCCTGTGAGCTGGGTAAGGGTTTAGGGATCGCTGTCTCCACGAAGGAGGCCACCTACACGAAAATTAAACGTATATATTGCCCAGTCCAATCCAGGGGACCCCTAAACTCATGATCTAGTAAAGCTTTGGCTGTAATCACTTAGGTAGCCCAAAGGCGAGTTACGAAGCCGACCCTAACTCCTGGATCTGAGCCTTTTACCTTGCAAACGGGTCCTGGAATACGATCTCTATCTTCTTCCTCCACTTCTTTCGCCACAGTTGCTGGCTGCCCAGCAACTTTCTGGCTCCTTTTCGGCTTCTTTGCCTGGACCTCCAAAGCACCATGCCGCTTCCTTTTGGTCGCCGCCATCTTGCCTGGACGCGTTAGCTAAGTCCGCACTTCCGGTTCTGCCGCTCGCTCCTCCTTCCGATCTCTATGGTAGCACGCGCTGGGTACTGGATTAGTCATCCAGCTCCGAGGCGCCTTTTTCCGGTCTCTTGGTAGACTATCTAGGCCCGCGGCGGCTCGGTGGTGACGGTGGCGGTAGCTGTTTGCCGGGCTTGGTGGCCTCGGGACGCTCAGGGTGTCCTTGCTGGGCTGGGCAGGAAAGAGCCTTGAGGGTCGGACACCACCGCAAAGGCAGGGGCCCGGCACCCGGGGCTCCCCTCAGTGTGCAGTGAACGGGCTGGTGAGCTGGGTGACCGGCGGGGCCGCCGCCGCGAGTTGTGTGGCAGGCCAGGTTGGTGGCGCCCGGCCTGCGTGCCCATTTACCCTGTGGAAATCCATGCCAATTAGAACTGCCCTGCGAATTGCATTTCCCCCCCTATGGAAGACAAGGAAACCGTAGTTTTGGGTAGTTTGGGGACAGGGAGATAAGACATTTCCCAAAAGCTGAAGACCATTCAGGGGCAGAAGTGGGGCTCTCCCTGGTCAGCCGGTTTCGGCTCGGGTTGAAGTCCCCAGCCCTGTCGGCACGGATGCGAGGTTTGTTGTTCCGTCTCTCAGGTTCTCAGAGATCTTCCGGAAGAGGAGCCTCCCTCTCTCCGGTGAGGGGACCATCCATGCCTCTCCTAACCCAGCACGTTGAGCACGAGGACGAACCGTACTGCTTGGTGGCCAGCCTTGACAACGTTAGGAATCTGTCCACTGTCTTGAAAGCCATTCATTTCAAAGATCACGCTACGTGTTTCGCTACTAAAAATGGAATCAAGGTTACAGTGGAAAATGCAAAGTGTGTGCAAGCAAATGCCTTTATTCAGGTATGGGGCAGAGGAGACACTTTGAAGCATTCCCGAGTTAATGAATTTGGAAGGACTTACTTAACAGAACTCAAGTTAGAGAATAAAATGTCATTACTTTCTTTTTTTTCTTTCTTGCCGACAAATATTTCCCATCTTGTGTTACACGCATAATAATTCCTAGTGATAATTTATTAATGAGATACTCTTCTCATCATTTACCTCTTTTAATCTTAACAAATACAGGCACATTTATAATCCTATCAAAAGTGGCAGCTGCAACAGATCTAATTTTCAACAGTCTTAAAATTGAGTTTGGATGAGAACCCAAAAATATTTGTCACTCTTTACACTGTAATTATCATTGTGCACGTTTTAGTTTTTCCTCTTACTGGCTGTAATAGCATGTTTACCCCATGAGACAGAGTCTAACATATAACCCTGGTTACCTGGAACTTGCTTTATACAGCAGATTGGCTTCAAGTTCTTTGGGATCCACCCACCTCTGCCTTATATTGAAGTACTGGATCAAAGCCCTGCACTGTCACCCACACCTATAATTATTACAAATTATTTGTATGGCTCATTGGATCTCAACATTTAGTTTTTATTTTTGAATTGTATATAGAATGATCTCACAAATGGAGGAATAAATAAAACATGGTTTCTGCAAAAGAAATTGAAAATGGTTATCATGCATGCATCATTGTCCTATTTTTGAGTGACTAGCTTTAACTGTTGGTCACAAGGACGGAGGAATCAGGGTAAGCTCACCGGGGTGGTAGATTCAGATCCATAAATGAAGATGAAGTACTCTGGGGAGGGCATCTTTGTATCTGTGGCTTGTTAATTTTATGTATATGAGTGTTTTTTCTCATATACATAAACGTTTGCAAAAGGTATGTGCCTGGTTCCTACAAACTCCAGAAGAGCATGTTGGATTCTGTGGAAATGGTTACAGGTGCTTGTGAGTCACCACGTGGGTACTCGGAGTCAAACCCGGGTCTTCTGGAGGGGTAGCCTAACTGCCGAGCCATCTCTCCAGTCTCTCTCATTCTCCTTCAGGAGCTTCTAAATGGGGCCTAACAGTGTTACACCTTTAACAAACCATGGAGTAGTCTTCTGGTGGGTAATGGTTGAAAAATTAACATGTTTTAGTTGGGAATGAGAAATTATTCTCATGGAGTTGATACAGCATTGTTAACTTTTTAAGCATAAAGTGAAATATAAAATCATATGTGAATTTTCATTCTATTTTTTCATGTTTACCTTTTTATAGGCTGAAGTGTTTCAAGAATTTATCATTCAAGAGGACTCTGTTACGTTTCGAATTAACTTAACTATCCTTTTAGACTGTTTATCTATTTTTGGATCAAGTCCTACACCAGGTGAACTTTATTATTAGCTATTGTTATTATGACATAAAAGTCATTATTGTGGTTAGAAAATACAGGGAGATTTCTAGAAAAAAAATTTTGAGACAAGAGTTCATGTATTCCAGACTGGCCTTGAACTCAGCTGTGTAGCTGAAGATGACCTTGAACTTCTCATCCTTCTGCCTTTACCTGTTAAGCAATGAGATTATAGACCGCCTATATGAGATTATGCAACCACCTGTAGTTTTATGTGGTGCCTGGAACTAGCACTTAGTACTGTCAGCTGAGCTACAAGCCCAGGCCAGCCAATGCTTTGTTAGAAAACTCGTTACTAAGGGAAGGACTCTTGAGGTCCCGCCCCTGGTGGAGAAAGAAGCTTTTGGCAGTTGATGGCTGCCAGCAAAGGGGAAAATCACATTTTTTGTAACAAGTTACAAACAAGTTAACTTAACAAGTTAAGTTTTGTAACAAGTTAAGTCCTAGGGACAAAACCTGAATTTGAGTCCCAGGTCCAGTGGTAGGAGGAGAGAACCCACTCCCAAAAGTTGTTCTATGACATCTATGGGCATGCTTCGGCGTGTGTACACTCCCACTCACAACCATCATGCACATACTACAGAAAATATGTTTTTAATTTTGCATTTTCTAATGCAATGTTCCCCACTTGGTTTTTCCTGAGAATGTGATTTTTTTTTCAGCATTTCTTACTGGCTGTAACCAGTAGGAAAGAGCCAGAATATTTTATATTCCTCCTCTGTAGGGATTTGAGATATTAAATTACATCACCAGTGGCTATCCTTTATTGCTACCATTTGATTTAAAATAATACTGTATCTCAGTAGGAGACATTGTATTAAGATGAATAAGCATTTTCTGAGGCATGTTTAACAAGTGGGAAAACATTTCAGCAGTTCACTTTTGCTCTGATTGCCAGTTTCCTTGCAGTTACTGGAATTAGGAGTCTTTGAAGAGACATACATGCTAGGAGCTTGGCAGGATAAGTTATTCTCAAGACAGTATGTGTGTCATTTGGAGGGAAAGCTAAACCCGGAACCACAGAGTTCAGCCCCACCTGACTTCTTTCCTTGCAGGGACTTTAACTGCACTTCGGATGTGTTACCAAGGTTATGGTCACCCTTTGATGCTGTTTCTAGAAGAAGGGGGAGTGGTGACAGTCTGCAAGATTAACACTCAGGAACCTGAAGACACTCTGGATTTTGATTTCTGTAGCACCAATGTTATGAGTAAAATTATCCTGCAGTCAGAGGGGCTCCGTGAAGCATTTTCTGAGTTGGACATGACAAGTGATGTCTTACAGATTACCGTGTCCCCCAACAAACCCTATTTCAGGTACATGAGTACAGTTATCATTAATGTGCTCTGTTATGTATGGGTCTAGCTCTACACTCAACATATGCTTGAGTCGCAGGATTTTTTTTTTTTAACCCATCCTAAAAATTTTGGAAGCATTTGATTATTTCATAATTTTACAACTCCAAGATAGGAAACTTGGGAAATATCAAAAGTAACCCACAAGTACACATCCATCTTAATACTGGTTAAGAACCTTAAAATCAAGGTGGAGGAAAAAAAATGTGAAATCAGCAGAGAATGAACAAAATTGCAAACCATTAAGAACTATAATACTCAAAAGTACTTGGAAAATAGTACTTGAGTACAATGAAGTGAACTTCATTGGGCCAGGTATTTTTGTTTGGTTTGGGTTTTCTCTCTCTCTCTCTCTTTTTACTAGAACTACTTTATAGAACTTAAAAGTTTTAAAGATACCAAAAAAAAAAAAAAGACTTAAGTTTTAGGATTTTTTTGTTTTTGTTTTTTTTTTTTTTTGACTTAGGAACAATTACAGCAGGCTTTTTCTTGTGATTAGGTAAAACTTTCACTCATGTTATGTCAAAAAGTTAACCAAAATGGAAAGCACTGACATGCTAATTATTCCTTTAAAACACGTCAGAGGATCCTCTTCCAAATCAGCTCTCAGAAGTAACTAGATGGTCCTGTAGCTTCTGTTTTCAGAACAGCAAACAATTTGGTGTATGGATGTGTTAAAATCTGAAGTTCATATGGCACTGGGGGAGAAATGCTGTACTAGGAAAGCATAACTTAAAGGCATAGTTGCATGTCAGTGGTTCAGCTGTATAAGCTAGGAATAGGACCCTTACAGTTGATTTAAATCAAGTCTTTCATTATGCACAGTACTCTGAGATATGTTTCTAGATTTAAAGATAAGGAAAGTTAACTCATTATTACACAACTGTACAGAGTATATATTGAATACTCTAATGTGAGATTTTCTTCAGAGCTGTTTCTAGACTGGAGAAATTGTTCAAGAAATTAAGAGCATATACTGCTCTTTCAGAGGACCCATTTGATTCCCAACACCATGTCAGGCAACTCACAACTGCCTGTAACTTCAGCTCTGAAGTGATCTGGAGCAACTGGACTCTAATCACAGACACACACAAACATGCACACACACATGCATACATACACATATGCGGGTACACATGTGTACACACACGAATCAAAGTAGAAAGTAAAACGATGTGTAAGCTTGTTACTATGTACTCTGTGCCCACAGCATCCTGTGGGAAACTTATGATGCTTGGTGAAGTGTACATTACTGTGTGTGGTAGTGCATGCCAATAGTCTCAACATTTGGTGGTGGAAGCAAGAGAATTGAGAACAAGACCAATCTGAACTATACAGACAGCTCTAGACCAGCTTGCTGATACCCAAGCAGTCAGGTTTTTTATTTGTTTTATGTATTTACATTTATATACATATAATGCGTATTTTTATATTTTAAAGTATACACACACATATATACAACATATGTTGTGTGTGGTCTGTGTGTATGTGGCACATTTACATGAGTGCAGGTACTGGTGCCCTATGTTCACATATGAGGCCAGAAAAGGACATTGGGTATTTTCCTCTATTGTTCTCCATCTTATTGCCTTGATTCACAAATGCCCCATTTTGACTAAGCAGGTAGATACTGGGTTCCACAGACCTGCCAGTCTCCATCCCTAGTGATAGGATTACAGGCATGCATGGTCATACCTACCTTTCATGTGAGTTGTTGGGATTTGAACTCAGATCCTGAGGCCTGCTTTGCAAATGCATTTACCTGCTGAACCATCTTCCCAGCCCCTAGAACTAGGTTTTTAATATGTCATTTCTTAAGGTAGCATGGATTCTAACATTGCTTATTATTGAACCTATTAGTAAATGAATTACTTATTTCCAATTATAGGTTATCTACTTTTGGAAATGCAGGAAGCTCCCACCTTGACTATCCTAAAGATTCTGACTTGATGGAAGCATTTCACTGTAATGAGACCCAGATCAACAGGTCAGTACTTAATATGAAGGTTGCATTGTTGGTAAAGATGAAGTACCAGATTTCCATTTAAAAACAAAATAGGGCTGAATCTGGGTGCAGTGGCATACACCTGTAATCCCAGCACTCTGGTTGGCTGAGGCAGGTGGATCTCTGTGAGTTCGAAGCTAGCCTGGTCTACAAAGTGAGTCCAGGACAACCAAGGCTACACAGAGAAACTCTGTCTCAAATAAAACCAAAGAGAGAGAGAAACAGATCATTTTTAATGTTACAAAATGCATCACATTACCAAAAGTAGATGGTTGGGCACTGAATTTGCTTGGGGATATTGGGTTGTAATCACAGTGGCTAAAGCAAGAGAAGACTAGCACATTGGTTAAGTGTTGGTGCTCAGTTATTCCTGGCTAGCTTTTGTCCTTTACTTGGTTTTGTATGCATTGCATGAAGTGGATCCAAATAACTTTCTATTTCTTCTCCTACAGATACAAACTTTCTTTACTGAAACCCTCTACAAAGGCATTAGCTTTATCTTGTAAAGTGTCTATTCGGACAGATAATCGAGGATTCCTCTCATTACAGTACATGATTAGAAATGAAGATGGGCAAATATGTTTTGTGGAATATTACTGCTGCCCCGATGAAGAAGTTCCTGAGTCTTGAATAATTCACTGTGAATATTTGTATTTATAGTTGTGTTCTCACTCTGCGTAATCTTCATGATTTCATATAAGATATATGTGTATTGAGATGCAGGGAGAAGACAGGAGTAGGGTCCCATTTTCTAAATAGTTTTATTTTGTGAATAAATATTTTCATATAGCCATAAATTATCTGGCTTATTTCACTGTTCCTGTGACTGTCTTACTTTTGGGGTTACGGATGGAGGATTTATTCATTTTATGTGTATCTTTGTTTTTGCCTACCTTACGTGTATATGCACCACGTGTGCCTGGTGCCTTTAGAATTCTGAAGAGGGCATTTAATGCCCTAGAACGGCAACTAAAGATGGTTATGAGTCACTATGTGGGTTCTGGAAACCAAACCCCAGTCCTCTGCACAAGCAGCAAATGCTCTTAACTTCTGAGGCTGTCCAGCATTCCCTTCTCCATGACTATCTATAGACATTGTGGGAATCACTGAATCAAGGAGAATAGTTTTCTCTACTTAAGCAACCAAGAATCTATGCAAAATTGGATGGAGCCATATCTAACATGTTCTTTTATTTATATGTTAGTATGAATTCCAGAGACTAGATCTTGAAGCTGAATGGTTCACCATCACACCAATGTCAGAATCATCTAGAAACCTGTCAGAAACTTGGTGGTAGGAACAGCAAGGCTTATTTCATCAAGCTTTCTCCAGAAAATTCTGAGTTTTCTGAGCTTGTCAAAGTTTGGGACAACAGTTGAGCCACTGAGAGAATATTCTTGATTTTTTTTAGCATTCACCTGCATTTTTAAATTTTATTTACTTTTGATTTTTTCAAGAGAGGGTTTCTCTGTAGCTCTGGTTGGCCTCAAACTCACCATATCTGCTTGCCTCTGCCTTCCAAGTGCTGGGATTAAAGATGGGCTGATACCGCCCAGCTCACCTGCATTATTTTTACATGTAACTTCACAAAAATGTTTTCAATTGAGGCATCACCATGCCAATTTGAGCAATGCTTTCTATGCTTTATTAAATTATTTATTTGGGTTTGGGGGTATTTCGTTTTGTTTTGTTTTGACACAGGATCTTTCTATACAGCCCTGGATGTCTGTCTCAGAACTCACTATGTAGACCAGGCTGGCCTCATACTTAGAGATCCACCTGCCTCTGATTCCTGAGTGATGGTATTAAAAGTATATGCCACCATACCTAGCTCTATGGTTTATTTATTTATTTAGGGTTTTTTGGTTTTTCTTTCGAGACAGGGTTTCTCTGTGTAGCCTTGGCTGTCCTGTTTTGCCTTGTAGACCAGGGTGGCCTCAAACTAAAAGAGATCCACCTGACTCTGCCTCTCTGAGTGCTAGTATTACAGGCATGCGCCACCACACCCTACTTATGGCTTATTTAAAGTATACCTTTAGAGAAAACAAGTTCCAGAATATCACGTACAAAGTCTTAAGGGTTACAGAAATTTTGTTCTCAGAGCTGTTTAATGCAGTAACCACCTGGTACCTTCTGTTTGCCTACATAAGCTTCTTGTCCAAAATCAAAACCTGCCATTAAGTATTTTTGTATGTTCCTGGGTAATTTTTACTAAAATATTTCTTGTGGCATATTGATTCTTTTGCCATTAACAAAACATAACACTAAAATAAGATAAGCCTTCTAAGAAGAAACAAATACAAGACTAAAATGAAGTTTCTGACTCTTTACTGTGCCACTGTTATGGGTTCAGGAATAGCTGCACACTGACTATTCAGACACCAGATTCAGACTGATGGGAGTTTATTGAACACTGAACAAAAACTGACTGATCGGGACCATAATCTGGACTTGCGAGCCAGACTATATGATGATGGGCTTTTTTTCTTTTCCTCAGGCAGGTTTTTATAAAAAAAAAAAAACCCGTAACTTGGTAACAACCAGGTAATCAGGTATAGGAAGTGGGGGTGAGAGGGTGGGTAGGGGAGAAAGCATTACGTCATTTTGGCTAGCTAAACACAATTTTTTTTTTTCCCCAAATGTGTTGCATCTAGATAGCTAGACAAAGCACTTTAAGCTGATTGGCTGGGATTTAGGAAAGCTCTTTGGTACTTTACAACTTTCTTTGACTCAAGAAGAACAGGCATTTATCATCTATTGTTTTATTCTAAGTAGCAAGTATTGAAATACTGAATTGTATCCTGGTTTCAGGCATGTAGGCCTGAGAACTTGAACTTTAATTTCACCTTATGATAAAAATGGAGACTTGGAGGCAAAATACCTTCTGATATTCTAAAGGCGCCAGCAGGTGTTAACACAGGAGCTACAGTTATGCTAAGAACTAAAATAGGTCTCAACAGAGGGGCTATTGAGTTTAAGCAGATTACAACAAAAAGTAATAATTTATGTAGACAGGCACTGATAGTTTTGGGGTATGATATTTTGTCATGGGAAAATTCTATTGCATGATTCATTTAGCATTCCTAAAATTATCTGTTTATACCAGTCATTATGATTCCTGTCCCCAAATAAAAGTGCCTAAGACTAGTGATAGTTGAAAATGATTTGATGATATCCACCAAAATTTGAGGGTACTTTTGGAATGTCCCACCCTAAAATAGCACACAGCACTTCAGGAAGCTGTTTTAGAGAGAAATGAAGCAAGTGGCTAAGGCCTGGACTATGGCACTCTTAGCAGTTTAGAGTGGGACTCTTTCAGAACAATACAGACGGCCAGGGACATGGCTCTGGGGGTAAAGGTGCCACCCGTGCAAGCTTGATGACTTTTGTTCAGTCTTTAGGATCTGGAGAAGAAGCGGGATGCAGTGGTGTGTATGTGTAATCCTAGCTCTGTATGGCAACATGGGAGGTGAATAGATCAGCCAAAAAAGTCTGTGGTCCAGCTAGTGTGGCGCTGGCAGCACGACAAAAGAAAAGACCTGACTCAGCAGAAGGTAGGACGACAGACCAAACTCCTGAAAAGTCCTTGGACCTTCACTTGAGCATATACATTCATTTTACTACTTTTTTTTTAAAGGATATATAGACTCCTTCCCCTCCTATCACCACATTTCTTATTCCATGTCACCTGAAATAATAATTCTGGGGGTTGAGCACAGGTCGGGCAAGTGCTAAGCCACTGATCTTGATCCTCACTCTCCAGTGTAACTTTTAGACATGTCAGTTATATGCACCTAAGCACATTCTTTGATACTGTAGCAGTCCCTCTGGGGACTAGGCTGTGATCTAGTTAGAATAATGTTAGTACTTGAGCATCCACATCTGTCATGGACGGGAGGGTTGATAAATCTTTGAAACAGCTTTTCCTTGTGAAATGAGTAGCTTATTGATCAGCCTAAGATAGTTGTAGATCTCCTTGGTAAAACTTAAGAAATTCAGGATTGTAAATTGACTAAAATAATTCAGAGAAGTTCATTATCCTTCCCTGAAAAAGAAGAGTCCTGTTAGGGCTGTGGCCCATCCGTGTAGGGTTGGTGCTAACGTCTGGTTCCTAAATAGTCTTCCTGCTATTATATTCTGAGAAGTTTTGGTTGCTGTTACTCATTAGGCTGGAACACTATCATCTAGTCTCTGATCAAGTGGGACTTATTTGAAGGGTGGATGGATGTCTAAAATCATAAGTGGGACTCAGTCGGCTTATGGACAGGTTGCAGAAACTTTGCTAACGTTGCTTAAATGACTCCATATGGTACAATTTGATTTGGGTTTGAATTTCTTCTAACTTGAAATAGAGATCATAAGGAAATAGCTTACACCCATATGCCCATAAATGCCCATGCTTATTAGCTAATTCTAAAGAGTTGTGTAGCTCAGGCCCATTAGCAACAGTAAGCATTTGTCTATAGCCTGATTAGTACTTGGATGGGAGAAATATCAAGACTTTACCTGTGTGATTCCAGTTTCTGGTTCCCAACAGATTGAAGTAGCTTGGTACTTATGTAGTTTTCCAAAGAGAATGTTATTTTAAATTAGGTCATGCTTTACTCAACATTTTACTGTTTCTTAAGCATTCACAAAGTTATCTTTTTTTCCATTGTATGGTTTTGGCATCTTTGTCTGTAGGTGTGTGAGTTTATTTCTCGGTCTTTGATTTGATTCCATTGATCTACCAGTCTGTTTTTATGCCAGTACTATGCAGTTTTTATTTCTGTTGCTCTATAGTACAGCTTGAGATCAGGAATGGAGACAGCTCCAAAAGATCTTTTATTGTACAGGATTGTTTTAGCTATTCTGGGTTTTTTGTTTTTCCATACGAAGTTGAAAATTTTTCTTTCAAGGTTTGTAAAGAATTGTATTGGAATTTTGATGGGAATTGCACTGAATCTATACATTGCTTTTAGTAAGAAGCCCATTTTCACTGTTAATCTTACTGAGCCAGGAGCATGGGAGAGCTTTTCATCTTTTGTTATCTTCTTCAATTTCTTTCTTCAGAGCACAGAGAGTCTTTTGAAAGAAGGGGATGGGGTAGAAGGACCTGGAGGGAGCAGGAGCTTCAGAAGGAGACCAACAAAGCCAAAATATCTGGGTCCAGGGGCCCTGCAGAGACTGATGCAGCAAGGACCATGCACAGAGAAGACCTGGACCCCCTGCTCAGATGTAGCCCATTGACAGCTCAGTCTCCATGTGGGTTCCCTAGTAAGGGGATCAGCGACTGTCTCTGACATGAACTTGGTTGTCTGCTCTTTGATCACTTCTCCCTAGCGATTCGGCCTTGCCAGGCCACAGAGGAAGAGGATCCAGGCAGATCTGATGAGACTTGATAAGGTAGGATCAGATGGCAGGGGTGGAGGACTTCCCCTTTCAATGGACTACGGTAAGGGGATAGGGGAGGAGGGGAAGGAGAGTGGGACCAGGAGGAGATGAGTGAGGGGACTACAATTGGGATATAAAATGAATAAATTGTAAAAAAAATTACAAAGAGTTCACAAAGCAGTAAAATTTTAAGTTGGTAAAACTACTCTTAAGTTATTACCACAGTGGATTCATGCCTATCTATTTGTCAAATCCATAAACTAGTGTGTGGAAGTGGAAACAACTCTTCCAAACCTGCCAAAGTCAGTCAGGATTTCTGGATATGAGCAGGACCCCCATCTCCAGGCAGGATGAAAATTAGCAATGACAAGCTGAGTAACCCTTAAACAAGCAATGACAGAGAGAAGAATCGTGGCTGCACCTG